TGAGAATGCAAGTGGATAGGTTTTATCCACAGCTGCTGCAGCCAGGTGGTATGTTTGAATGTATGACACGAGAAATCACCATAAAGAACTTCAGAGTGTGCAGGAAGAGCTTTCCAGATAGCACTCATGTTAGAAATTATTTTCTTTTCATCCAAAATTTAAGATAATTCATAACACCTTCCCACCACAGCAATCCAGAGGAGAAGGCATTTTATAGCAATTATTTTGCAGAAGCATTTTCGTATTGGAGTAAAATAGACCTGGAGAATTTCAGTTTTGCATATGTATGAAATAGGAAACGAGTAACCAAAATGCCTAGAGCAAGAGAAATACATTAAAAACAACCACAAACAGGTAAACCCCACGTTGTTTGAAGGCTGACCTCTAAGCATTAGTAACTGCATTGACAAACAATATATATACATACATACATATATATACATGCATATATGTGTACATATATATATATACATACATACATGTATACATATATATACATACATACATCCACATTTATTTTTATTAAACATAATATATATAAAAATAATATATATAATTTATATGTAAAGTTTAAAGGCTAATAATGAAATGAACACTAATGGATTAATCGGTAAGCTTAAAAAATACATCTGATGCCCCTGTATGTTCATCCTCCTCTGATCCCTCTACCTGCCTTCTAGAGCTAACCACGATTTTGAATTTTTACCACATCCAAATCCCTAATAGTTTAGTTTTAAACTTTATACAAGTGGAAGATAATACTGTATGTATATTCTCCTGGAAACTTTCCCCTCTCATTTTTGTGCTTTGAGAATTCTGTCTTTTATTGCTGTGTGGTATTTCATTTTAAGAATACCACAGTTTATTTGTCCAGACTCTTGTTAAAGGACACTTAGGCTCTTTCTGGATATTACAATTCCAAAAAAGCTGATATGAACATTCTTGTCCATGTTTACTGGAACACATGTGCAAGTGCCTTCCAAGATCAGAATAGTTATGTAGTAGGAAATGCACATCTTCCATTTGATTAGGTAGTGACAAATGGTTTTCCTAACACTGTGCCAGCAGTATATAGGAATTCTCATTGCTCCACAGTCTCTTCAGCCCTTGCTGTTGCCAGACTTCTGCATTTTTGCCATCTGGTGGAAGCAAAATAGTTGTGGTTTTAATATAAATTCTCTCTTTTGATGAGGTCGAACATATTTTCATATGGTTATTGGCCATAAGTACTTCTTCCATGAACTGTCTAGTTTTTTATGGGATTGATTATTAATTTTATAGATTATTTAAATAGCTAATATATTAATCCTTTGCCATTAGTGTGGCAAATGTGAGTCAAATTTTAGTTTCTTCATAAAATTATGCTAATATTTTCAATGTTCATCACATACGTATACATAGATAGTTCTATCGTCATGGGAAAAGTAAATTTCTGTTGCAGTATAACAAAACTATTTTCTATCCTAGTGTAGGGCTGGTAGTGTTTTATATGATTGACTACATTAGAATCTGAACAGCTAAGGCTTTGTCTTCATCAGGTACCTCCTACCTAAATGAAGCACTTGACCAGTGCGATTTGGTTATTCTGAAAGAGGAGAAAACCAGGCAAGCCACTGGACATTGTCATTATGAAATTAAGTAGCAGTCTCTCTCATCTCACAACTCTTTCTTTTTGTCTGTACTTCCAACATCCTTACATTCCCCCAAAGACAGAGAAAGTAAAGGATAGAGACCTAATAGCTACAAGGTTGAAACAAATGAGGATGATTAATATGTTCATATCCACCCTCTCTACCCTTGCTTAGCAGCCTGAAATTCTTCCTGATGTCCCTCACCACATTAGGCACATCACTTACTATAGAGTATTCTAATGGAGAGATTGTTTAATGTCTGTTTGTCCCATTTCACCCCAGACTATAACTCTCTCTGACTGCAAGGCTTTGTCTTCCATTTGTCACAGTGCCCTCAGCACCTAGTACAGTGCCTGGCACTCAGTGGTTCTCAGAAAAATGCAGTATGTGAAAAAGATTTGAGGTCTTAGTTGACAGTAAGTTCAATATAACATGGCTGTTGCTTTGGTTCTTTGGATATTAAGTACTTAGTTTAGAATCACTATTCCAAACCCCTGGTCAACTTTTCGCATTTTTAACCCAATAACTAATTGTTTTGATAATACTTACTATAAATCATGTTTTGGGGCACCTGGGTGGCTCAGTCAGAATGAAATCCAACAATGTGAATGGAACTAGAATGTATTATACTAAGCAAAATAAGTCAGCCAGAGGAAGATAAATATCGTATGATTTCACTTGTATGGAATTTAAGAAACAACAGATGAACATAAGGGAAGGGAAGGAAAAATAAGATAAAAACAGAGAGGGAGGCAAACTATAAGAAAGTCTTAATTACAGAGAACAATCTGAAGATTGCTGGAAGGGAGATAGGCGGGGGGATGGGCTACATGAATGATGGGCATTGAGAGCACGTGTTGGGATGAGTGTTATATGTAAGTAATGAATCACTAAATTCTACTTCTGAAACCATCATTATACTATATGTTAGCTATATGTTAACTAACTTGGATTTAAATAAAATTTAAAAGAAGAAAAGAAGGAAAAAAAAGATTTCTCATCTCAGAGGTATGCTTTGATTTTCTGTCCTGTTCAACTTGCTTTCAAAACATCAGTGCTGGGGCACCTGGGTGGCTCAGTTGGTTGAGCACCCAACTTCAGCTCAGGTCGTGATCTCACAACTTATGGGTTTGAGACCTGCGTCCGGCTCTGTTCTGACAGCTCAGAGCCTTGAGCCTGCTTTGGTTTCTGTCTCTGATTCCTCTGCTTCTCTCCCTCTCTCTCTCTCTCTCAAATATACATATACATTAAAAAATTTAAACTTAAAAAAACCCCCAAAATATCAGTACTCTGGATGATGGCACTGATAACATCCTGATAGAGGACACATATGCATAAAGCTGGGAGGGAAGGAGGTTGTGATAAGCTGAATCTATCAATATGGGATCTAGTAAACACAAATGTTAAACTCTTCAGTTGAGTACAAAAAAGAAAACTGTCCACAATTCAAGGAAAAATATGTGCTTCAGTGGCTAACTATGCATTGTTTACAGCACAGTCTTCTGGATTACCTTCTGGAGTATCTGATTCTATGGAGATTTTGTAGCTTTCCTTGCTTTTGAGATATTTTACAATTATGTACATTGCAGATAAGGTATAGCGGTGCAAAATAATTCTTTTCTATACATTTGCAAATGAGTTTGTCTGGTGGAGTTTCAATGGACTCTGTGGATTGACAAGTCTTGTGTCCATTTGCAAATTCATTTCAATATTCCAAATCTATCAGTGTGTTCTTTGGATTCTCCTTTGAGCTTGGTTCCCTCATTAGTGATTTAAATAAGTATTTAACACATGTCCACTTTATTTGTATGCAAGAATTGCAATTTACCTTATTTTGAGAGTTATCTTTAATAAAAGAAAGAATGAGAATAACTTGGGTAGGATACAATATGCAAAAAAGATTTGAGCTCTTAGTTGACAATAAATTCAATACAAGTCATTAGTGTAATATGGCTATTGCTTTAGTTCTTTTAAGTTTATCAAGTACTTAGTTTAGAATCACTATTCCAAACCACTGGCCAACTTTTCTTATTTTTAACCCAATAACTAATTATTTTGATAATAGTAGCTATAAATCATGTTTTAAAATCTGGTATAGCAAGCCATTATAATTATGTTGGTTAAAAGAACACTTCGATATTCTTGATAGTTTATTCTTCTAAATGAATTACACTGTGAGTTTGTCAGAGTCTATAATGTATTCATTTGGGATCTTGGTTTTGCATAAAATCTATAAATATTTGCTTAGGAATTATTGTCATTGCTACTGTATTTGGTTTTTCCAATAAGAAACAATATATATCTCTCCAATTATTCTTCTCATCTTTTATTTCTCCCATTAGGAATTTTAAATTTTATTTGAATAATTAAATCATTTATGTCTTGAATTATATAAATATGCATTTAATGATTTCAGTTGTAATAGAATCTTTTTTAATGTGTCTCTAGCTATTTGTCATGGGTCTAAAAGAATGCAATTGAGTGTTATATTTGTTTTTTGTTTTTTTTCCTAAGAAGTTCTTATCATCCTTCCAGGAAAATTTATTCTACTTTTCTCCAGTTCATACCACTAGCATTTCTAGTGCTATGTTTTTAAAAAGTGGGTTAAAAAAACTCAACTAGATATTTTTGGTTTGAAAATAGTTTGCATTCATCCTGGAGAAAACCCAAATAAGAAAAATTTTAGCTCCTCCTTTTCCTTCCTCAAAGATATCTTGAGTAAAGGATGCTTCACATTTTAGGTAAGGTTATTTTGGGATGAGGCAGTTAGAAATACCAACACAAGTTATAAATCTTTTTAGTCAATACTTGACCAAAGATAATTTAGTACTGCCATGGGTTCAATCAATGTCTGCATGTGTAGTCCAGGGCCCAGGAGTATATTTACTCAAAGATACTATTTGGAAATTCTACACTGTTTCTTCAGCATTTTTTTTCCTGAGTGTGTGCAGCATGTAAAGGAGATCAAAAGTTTGAAATTAAGATTAAAAGATAAACCAGAGTAAAAATTTTCTTAAATGTTAATATGTTTTCGACTCATTTCCAAATTTTCCTTTCTTCATTTTTTGCTAGTCACCATCTGTCTTTAATTATAACTTAACTCAATTTCCTTTGAAAGTCCTTTTTCCAAATTAAAAATAATTTTTTCTAAGTATTTTCTACATTTCAGTTGTTTGAACTTAAAAATTTATGAAGCCCTCTGAGTCTCCATTTCTTTATTTGTAAAATGAGAATGAAAAAGTGTTTTGCATGTCTCCCTAGGTGGTTGTTTGAATTATATAAAATGGTTAGGGCATATTCTCCTTTGGAAGAATGGTTGGCCATTGAGGACCACATCAACTAAGTTCAATAAGAATATGTTAAATCTACTTCATGGCCACCATGGTTCCATTTAATTACAAGGAAATGCAAATATAAGTGAAATACAAAATAAAGTTCTTGTCTTCCAGAGAAAATGCTTCTCGAATATTAGCAGGCACACAAATCTCCCAGGTCTTGTCAAGTGGCAGATTATGATTCAGTTAGTCTGAGGTGAAGCCTGAGATTCTGCATTTCCAACAACCTCTAAGAGATGCTGATACCGCAGATGGCACGATCCCTATAGTATAAATCATACACATCAGAGGCAGAGATCAGGAAAAACTAGATATCCTTGAATATCCAAATAAATCACTGTGGGCCAGAAAATGGAAGATGGGACATGATTCAGCTTGAGATTCTTTCCACTGTTGGTAAGGAAGCGAAGTGAGCATACCACATTCTTAACGGGGTGGGGGTGGGTGAGTGGGTGGGAATGGTTTGTCTTTTGTAAGATTCTGTGGATTCATGCATTTAAAGATGCTTGAGATGGCTTCTGACAAAAAGGTATGAGGGTGCTTAGCCAAGAAACAATGGTGTTAAGCTGCTGCTGGAGTTCAATATTATACACGCACATACGTATGGAAAGTTAAGATAGCATAGACATACATGCAATACTTACATGCACATATGATGTTATTATCAATCAGGATGGTTTTCGTGTTTGTAATATTATTAAAGGCAACATTTAGCCTTCACTAAGCACCAGTTAAGCTCCCAGGGCAGTCAGAAGTAATTCCTTCCTACATGCCAATAAACTGGTTCTGGAATGAATGTGTTACTGGTTTCTCATCCCTAGCACTGGTCTGCAGCATAGCTACAAAACTAGGTAAATTTATGGGCTCACTGACGCGGTTGGTGTCCCATCCCTTCAGGACCCAGTGCCTGCTTCTCCCTGATGGTCCTGATCACCCCCACTCTCGTTCCCATGCTTACCCTCCTTCTGGCTATCAAATATGTGTCATTCTTTGCCTTTGCCCTGAGACTGGAGCCATTGCAATAAGCTCACATAGCCCCACCTGAACATCTGACTTAAGCCAGAGAGGTCAACTCACTATTCCCTGAGCAGGCCTTCTGCTTTCTGCTCTATGCTTTAGCTTTCTTCTGGACTGCTCCTTCTCTTGCATTCTTTGTAGCCAGGCAGGTCTTACCCATCCTAAGCCCACCTCAGATCCTGCCTCCTTTGTAAAGCCTTCCAAGATTTATACTTCCCCTATATGAGTCCTTCAGTAAGTGACTCTACTATCCATTGACAATCATTTGCTGCTGTGATATCGCTTTTCTATTGCTGCCTTCCATTGTCATTTAAAACGTATATTCAGCTCTTTAAGACTTGATATGTGGGTTCTCCTGTTACAAAGTTTCCTTGAAGTTAAAGTTTGTATTTTATATGTTCTTGCATATTATACAGTCCCAAACAGTGTAAATGTAAAAAGTTGCTTTGACTTGATGAACTAATTCTATAGAGTTTCTGGATGATCTTGGTGAATATAGAAAGCCGTGCCATTAAAATGTTAACTTGGGCATCCACCAGTTTAACTGAAGAGAAACATAACTTTAGAAACCTGGATAGGATCAATAGAAGCATTTCTGATTCCCTCTTAAACATACCCCAAAGCTGACTCGTCCCTGGAGCCTGCCCCTCCTGTTGGGCTGGCCCTGTTGCCAGGGAACCATGTCCTCGGCCTACTTGTCCTCATCCACACTCGTATTCCCCTCCCAGGTCGGAGTGTGGCATCTCTCCAAAAAGGTATATGCACTGCAGCTGGGAAACCATGTGTAGCTAAAGGCATAGGCGAAAACCTGTGAGTGGGTGCTGGAAGAGGTGCCCTTCAGGCATGGAGTTATGTGTATGATACATTCTCTACACAGACCCTGGTTCCATCCTCAGAACCCTCTCTATTGTGATAAAACATGATGTCTGGCTCTTTTCATTCTTCTTTGGGGATCCAGGATTCTTGGTTGGATGGCAACTCTAGTCAACCAGGCCTGGTTCTATGTTCCCATTCCACGTGGGAGAGGTAGGGCGAGGCAAGCCCCTCGCTCAGAGGGGCAGCTGAGCCCCTATACACATAGGCTCACTTCTAGGCATCAAGTAAAGATCTTAGCTTCAGGGGTCCAGTGCTGGCTTCAGGCCATTCTTTTTTTTTTTTAATTTTATTTTTTATTTTTAAAAACTTACATCCAAATTAGTTAGCATATAGTGCAACAATGATTTCAGGAGTAGATTCCTTAGTGCCTCTTACCCATTTAGCCCTTCCCCCCCTCCTACAACCCCTCCTGTAACCCTCAGTTTGTTCTCCATATTTGTGAGTCTCTTCTGTTTTGTCCTCCCTCCCTGTTTTTATATTATTTTGTTTCCCTTCCCTTATGTTCATCTGTTTTGTCTCTTAAAGTCCTCATATGAGTGAAGTCATATGATTTTTGTCTTTCTCTGACTGACTTATATCATTTAGCATAATACCCTCCAGTTCCATCCATGTAGTTCCAAATGGCAAGATTTCATTCTTTTTGATTGCCGAGTAATACTCCATTGTATATATGTACCACATCTTATTTATCCATTCATCCATCGATGGGACATTTGGGCTCTTTCTATACTTTGGCTATTGTTGATAGTGCTGCTATAAACATGGGGATGCTATCTCCCTTCGAAACAGCACACCTGTATCCCTTGGGTACATGCCTAGTAGTGCAATTGCTCGGTCCTAGAGTAGTTCTATTTTTAGTTTTTTGAGGAACCTCTGTACTGTTTTCCAGAGTGACTGTGTCAGCTTGCATTCCCACCAGCAGTGCAAATGACATCCTCTTTCCCTGCATCCTTGCCAATATCTGTTGTTGCCTGAGTTGTTAATGTTAGCCATTCTGACAGGTGTGAGGTAGTATCTCATTATGGTTTTGATTTGTATTTCCCTGATGATGAGTGATGTTGAGCATTTTTTTCATGTGTCGGTTGGCCATCTGGATGTCTTCTTTGGAGAAATGTCTGTTCATGTCTTTTGCCCATTTCTTCACTGGATTATTTGTTTTTTGGGTGTTGAGTTTGATAAGTTCTTTACAGATTTTGGATACTAACCCTTTATCTGATATGTCATTTGCAAATATCTTCTCCCATTCTGTCGGTTGCCTTTTAGTTTTGCTGATTGTTTCCTTCACTGTGCAGAAGCTTTTTATTTTGATGAGGTCCCAATAGTTCATTTTTGCTTTTGTTTCCCTTGCCTCCAGAGACGTGTTCAGTAAGAAGTTGCTGTGGCCAAGATCAAAGAGGTTTTTGCCTGCTTTCTCCTCAAGGATTTTGATGGCTTCCTGTCTTACACTGAGGTCTTTCATCCATTTTGAGTTTATTTTTGTGTATGGTGTAAGAAAGTGGTCCAGGTTGATTCTTCTGCATGTCGCTGTCCAGTTTTCCCAGCACCACTTGCTGAAGAGACTGTCTTTATTCCATTGGATATTCTTTTCTGCTTTGCCAAAGATTAGTTGGCCATACATTTGTGGGTCCATGTCTGGGTTCTCTATCCTGTTCCATTGATCTGAGTGTCTGTTCTTGTGCCAGTACATACTGTCTTGATGATTACAGCTTTGTAGGATAGCTTGAAGTCTGGGATTGTGATGCCTGCTGCTTTGGTTTTCTTTTTCAAGATTGTTTTGGCTATTTGGGGTCTTTTCTGGTTCCATACAAATTTTAGAATTATTTGCTCTAGCTCTGTGAAGAATGCTGGTGTTATTTTGATAGGGATTGCATTGAATATGTAGATTGCTTTGGGTAGTATCGACATTTTAACAATATTTGTTCTTACTATCTAGGAGCATGGAATATTTTTCAATTTGGGGGGGCCTTCTTCAAGTTTTTTTCATAAGCTTTCAGTGTATAGATTTTTCACCTCTTTGGTTAGATTTATTCCTAGGTATTTTATGGTTTTTGGTGCAATTGTAAATGGGATCTATTCCTTGATTTCTCTTTCTGTTGCTTCATTGTTGGTGTATAGGAATTCAACCAATTTCTGTGCATTGATTTTATATCCTGCAACTTTGCAGAACTCATGGATCAGTTCTAGCAGTTTCTTCGTGGAATCTTTTGGGTTTTCCATATAGAGTACCATGTCATCTGTGAAGAGTGAAAGTTTGACCTCCTCCTGGCTGATTTGGATGCCTTTTATTTCTTTGTGTTGTCTGATTGCTGAGGCTAAGACTTCCAATCCTATGTTGAATAACAGTGGTGAGAATGGACATCCCTGTCTTGTTGCTGACCCTAGGGGAAAAGCTCTCAGTTTTTCCCCATTTGGGTCTTTCCTATATGGCTTTTATGATCTTGAGGTATGATCCTTCTATCCCTACTTTCTTGAGGGTTTTTATCAAGAAGTGATGCTATATTTTGTCAAATGCTTTCTCTGCATCTATAGAGAGGACCATGTGGTTCTTGTCCTTTCTTTTATTGATGTGATGAATCACATTGATTGTTTTGTGGATATTGAACCAGCCCTGCATCCCAGGTATAAATCCCACTTGGTCGTGGTGAATAATTTTTTTAATGTATTGTTGAATCCAGTTGGGTAATATGATGTTGAGGATTTTTACATCCATGTTCATCAGGGAAATTGGTTTATAGTTCTCCTTTTTAGTGGGGTGTCTGTCTGGTTTTGGAATCAAGGTAATGCTGGCTTCATAGAAAGAGTTTGGCAGTTTTCCTTCCACTTCTATTTTTTGGAACAGCTTCAAGAGAATAGGTGTTAACTCTTCCTTAAATGTTTGGTAGAATTCCCCTGGAAAACCATCTGGCCCTGAACTCTTGTTTTTTTGGCAGATTTTTGATTACTAATTCAATTTCCTTACTGGTTATGGGTCTGTTCAAATTTTCTATTTCTTCCTGTTTCAGTTTTAGTAGTGTGTATGTTTCTAGGTATTTGTCCATTTCTTCCAGATTGCCCATTTTGTTGGCATATAATTGCTCATAATATTCTCTTATTATTGTGTTTATTTCTGCTGTGTTGGCTGTGATCTCCCGTCTTTCATTCTTGATTTTATTTATTTTAGTCCTTTTTCTTTTTGATCAAACTGGCTAGTGGTTTATCAATTTTGTTAATTCTTTCAAAGAACCAGCTTCTGGTTTCATTGATCTGTTCTACTGTTTGTTTGTTTTTTATTTCGATAGCATTAATTTCTGCTCTAATCTTTATTATTTCCTGTCTTCTGCTGGTTTTGGGTTTTATTTGCTGTTCTTTTTCCAGCTCCTTAAGGTGTAAGGTTAGGTTGTGAATTTTAGATCTTTCTTCCTTCTTTTTTTTTTTTTTTTAATTTTTTTTTTCAACGTTTATTTTTTTGGGGACAGAGAGAGACAGAGCATGAACGGAGGAGGGGCAGAGAGAGAGGGAGACACAGAATCGGAAACAGGCTCCAGTCTCTGAGCCATCAGCCCAGAGCCTGACGCGGGGCTCGAACTCACGGACCGTGAGATCGTGACCCGGCTGAAGTCGGACGCTCAACCGACTGCGCCACCCAGGCGCCCCTCTTTCTTCCTTCTTTAGGAAGGTCTGGATTGCTATATACTTTCCTCTTATGACTGCCTTTGCTGCATCCCAGAGGTTTTGGGTTGTAGTGTTATCATTTTAATTGACTTCCATATACTTTTTAATTTCCTCTTTAACATCTCGGTTAGCCCATTTATTCTTTAGTAGGATGTTCTTCAGTCTCCAAGTATTTGTTAACTTTCCAAATTTTTTCTTGTGGTTGATTTCAAGTTTCATAGCATTGTGGTCTGAAAATATGCACGGTATGATCTCAATCTCTTTCTACTTACCTAGGGCTGATTTGTGTCCCAGTATATGGTCTATTCTGGAGAACGTTCCATGTGCAGTGGAGAAGAATGTATATTCTGCTGCTTTAGGATGAAATGTTCTGAATATATCTGGTAAGTACATCTAGTCACATGTGTCATTCAAAGCCATTGTTTCCTTGTTGATTTTTTGATTAGATGATCTGTCCATTGCTGTGATTGGGGTGTTGAAGTCTCCTACTATTATGGTATTACTCTTGATGAATTTCTTTATGTTTGTGATTAATTGATTTGTGTATTTGGGTGCCTCCACATTTGGCCCATAAATATTTACAATTTTTAGGTCTTGGTGGATAGACCACTTGATTATGATATGATGCCCTTCTTTGTCTCTTGATACAATCTTTATTTTAAAGTCTGGATGTCTGATATAAGTACGGCTACTCTGGCTTTCTTTTGTTGACCATTAACATGACAGATGGTTCTCCATCCCCTTATTTTCATTTTGAAGGTGTCTTTAGGTCTAACATGGTTCTCTTGTAAACAGCATATATATGGATCTTGTTTTCTTATCTATTCTGTTACCCTATGTCTTTTGATTGGAGCATTGAGTCCATCGACATTTAGAGTGAGTACTAAAAAATATGAATTTATTGCCATTATGATGGAGTTGGACTTTCTGGTGGTGTTCTCTGGTGTGTGTGTATGTATACATATATACATATATACATATATGTGTATATATATATATATATATATATATATATATATATATATATATATACTTTTCTCCCCTCAGAGAGTCCTCCTTAAAATTTCTTGCAGGGATGGTTTAGTGGTCACAAACTCCTTTAATCTTTGTTTGTCTGGGAAACCTTTTATCTCTCTTTCTTTTTGAATGACAGCCTTGCTGGATAAAGAATTATTGGTTGCATATTTTCTTGATTTAGCACATTGAATATATCCTGCCACTTGTTTATGGCCTGCCAAATTTCTGTGGATAGGTCTGCTGCAAACCTGATCTGTCTTCTCTTGTAGGTTAGGGACTTTTTT